GGACTCGGCTTAAGAAGCCAGCAGTGTTCCTTCCACCGTTCCCTGTGTAATTCCATCAGTGCTGCCAATAAATCCACAAACTAACCCACTCCATGGTTCTTTGCTCTTCCGGGTTCTGTCTGTGTTCTCTTCCTGGAGCCAACCTTCAAAGCAGCTTGGAATTGGGGTAGGGAGCAGCCTCCTGTCCCTCCTGCCCTGTCTAACCCCTCTTGCTCTGTGGTTTCTGCCCGGGAGGTTTGAACACTGACTTGATTTGCTCTTCATTCTCCATCCCATTTTTTTACTTAACCATCATTTTTTTGTGTTCTGTTTTTTTTTTTTTTTTTTTTTTGTTGTTTTTTGTTTGTGTTTTTTTTTCTGTTTAGCCCTAAAGAAGAATAATATCACTAAATTTCCCAATGTTCACTCGAGGGTAAGGATTTCTTCTAGCACAGCCGTGGTGGAGGATTCCCAGAGCTGGCAAGCATCTCTTTTTACTTGGCTTCCTCCTCTCTCTCTGTGCCAGGCAGCTGGTGGTAGATGTGGCTGAGCTAATACTGGTGAGACCTCGCGGCCAGCTGAGACCCAGATCCTTGATTTTCACCTCTGGAGGTGCAGGGATCCACAGGATGTTGGCTGGTGGCCATCATCACACTGTTTTGGCCACTTCTTCTCAAGCTGAGCCCAAAACAGTTTTGTCCCCAAGTGCTGTTGGTTGGTGGCCATCTTCACGCTCCATTTTGGCCATTTTAATTCAAGTTGAGCCCAAAATAATCTTGTCCCCAGGTGTTGTTGGTTGGTGGCCGCCATCACACTCTGGTTTGGCCATTTCTCTTCAAGTCCAGCCCAAAACAGTTTTGTCCCCGAATGTTGCAGCCCCACAGCTGGGTTCTGCATGAGGTGGACAATCTCCAGCTCCAGGTGTGGAGAGGGGAGAGCTGAGAAGTTTGGGAGTTCTATGTAACTCCCAATACAAATTATCCAGGAATCAGAGAGATTTGCCCAGTCCAAGACAAATTTGTTGGCCAGGAGACCAGTATTTGAACTGGAATTATCTTTAGTGCTTGTTCTCTTGTAGATGCACAGGTGACAGCACATGTGACACCTGTAATGGGCTTCCACCATCCCATCCATCAGCTTTCTCCCTCTTTCATCCATCCATCCATCCATCCATCCATCCATCCATCCATCCATCCATCCATCCCATCCCATCCCATCCCATGCTCAGTGTTCCCTCCCGAGCTCTCCCTCCTTTGGCTGATGAAGCATCACTCCAGCCATGGAAAGCAGCCAGAGAATCCCAGCCCAGTGCCAGCTGCTTTTCCCAGGGCACCTCTTTTAGATCTTGGAGGTCCTTGCCAACCTGAACGATTCCGTGAATCCGTGCTAAATGGGGTGTAGGGATGCTAAATCCATCCCGGCGTGGCTGAAGCGGGCTCACACACCCGCTGTGAGGAACATCCTGCAGCTCAGCCCTGAGTGTGGCAACACCCCAAACCACCTGCCTGGGCTCGGCGTGGCCTCGGTGACAGCTGTGAGGGGCCATTCCCACCGGCATCCCGATCCCACCAGTATTAACCGGCCGCCGGGGCGCGTAGCTCGGGCACGTCCGTCCCTCCTTCCCCGCTCCCGTCCTCCACAAGCTGCTTTGACTGGCTTCCAGCGGGCCTTTCCCCGTCCGTCCCGCCGCGCGTCCGCGTGTCCGCTGCTGACTGCCGGCTCCCCGCAGATCTCCGGAACCAGCCGTACCGCCGGGCCGACGCGCTGAGGAGGAGCGTGCGCCGCCGCTTCGACGAGCACGGGCTGCGCTCCAACGGCGCCGAGCTGGCCATGTGAGCCCGCCGGGGAGCTCCCGCGCTCTCCGGGGAACGCCGACCTTCGGAGGGCTCCCGGCCCCGCGCCGGGCTCTCCGCGCCAAGTGCCTGAAACGGAAGCTCCCGCTCCGACGGATCCCAGCGATAGGATTGGGGTCGGTTGGGTTTCTCCGGACGCCGAGACCCTGCGGGATTCGTAACCAAAATGTAAAATAGGGGTTGGTTTGGGGGGGTTTGGGTTGGTGAGAGCGAGGGCTGCCGTGGGCCTGACTGGTTGGAAACTGGGAATACTGGGATGTGCTTGGCTTTTAACGCTGGGCCGAGGGGCAGGCCCGGCCTTCAACTGCACTTAACAGCTCTTTTTCAATTAAATCTACAAAGGCATTTGAGGGCTTTCTGTAGCTGGAATTAAAATAATCCCAAGGAACAGCCCAGCCCTTTTCCCAGCCCGTGCAGCCTCCAAACGGAACGTGGGCCCACGGTCCCAGGACTAGGAATGGAACCCGAGGTCCCCCCGGCCCGGCGTGGGGGTTTGGGATGTTCCAGGGCTTTGGCCGGGCGGCCACGGCAGCCAGCGTTGGGATAACGGCGTATTTATTAATTAGCACTAAGCAATTAACACCCAGTAATCAGTATTAGGCTCTGAGGACCAGTGCAGTCCAGTTCCTGGCAGGGGGATTCCAAGCCAGCTCCGGCTCCGAGACGTTCCCGCTCGGATCCCAGCTGAGGCTCCTTTGGAGGGGAAGCCCAGCCTAAAACTCCCACTCGGGTTTGGGTTCTCCGTGGCATTTTCCAAGCCTGAAAAGGGACAGGAGGCTGATTTAGGACCACGGTGCCCCTCCCTGTGCCCCCGAGCAGTGGGAAGGATCCCATTCCCTGCCAGCAGCAGCCAGGAGTTGGGAAGAGCTGGACTGAGGAGAAGTTTGTCCTTCCCAAATCCCATTTTGCTTCCAGCTTCCCTGCCTGGGCTCATCCATCTGTTAATTGTAAAATTTCTTGTATAGTATTTAACCACTGAATTTCTTTGCCCTTTTCCGTTGTGCTCCTGTGAACCACTGGTGAAGGTCCCTGTTTGTTTTTTGTTTCCCCTTGGATAATGTGTAGTTATATGATAATCTGTTTTTAAATGTACAGATATTTTGCTACAAAATTGGTGCAGTTTTTTATGGTTTTTACCCTACTTCCCCCCCCAACTTTAGCCTCTGGGTAATATTGTAAATATTGTTTAAAAGGAAATAAATGCATCAAGCCTGTGCTATACAATCTGAATGTTATTTTAACTTATAGTTTTTGTTTTTATATTTAACTAAAAGGACAGTTTTGGACTCAGAGCTACCACATTGACCAATTTCCAGGAATTTTTCCTTGAAAAACTGCCAAGTTTTGCATTTACAGCGCTGTGTACTTGACCTGCTAAAGAGAACATGCCACTGTTGGAACGAGTGTTTGGATCAAAGAAAATTGGATAATCTGAATTTCAAATTTCAGCACTTGTTGGGGTATAAGCACTAAATCTCATTTTCTTCAGCTCAAAGGTATTTTTGTAATAAAAGCCCAGAATGAAAGCCAAGCTGGCATGTTCTCTTTAATATTTTTCTAGTCATAGATCTGCTTCTTAGCAAGATTAGAAGTGTTTCTAAAGCAGTTCACGTTCCTTTCCTGGTCTGTTCCTGCCATAAAATCAAATAAACTATTTACACTACTACACTGAAATCCAGAGGGGTTTTTTGGGTCACTTTTACCTGGGTTTTTTCCCCCAAAAATGCTGCTATTTGCTAGGTGAACACCTGGAGCTTGTGTGGATGAAGACTGAAAGAATTTTTGAAGAAATCTTTGTTATTCTGGAAGAGGCTGAGGGAAGAAATTTGGGGTGTGGATGTTCCTGGGAGACACCTGGATCAGCTCCAGGAGAGAAATAAATGGGGATTAATATTTGTCAGAAATGCACTCAAAACAATCCACATATTTAAGGCCTAAATAACTTGAATTTTAATAATAAATTTAATTTTTTTAAATGGTTTAGTAAGATTATTCTGAGGGTTGGGGTCAGGATTAACCAGCACAGTCAAGGATTCAACATCGATGGACACCGTTAAAAATCATCCAAAATAATCCAATAATTGATCAAAAAGAATCAATTGGGCTAAAATTCCATCCAGTTTCCAGGCAGGAATGCAGAGGTTGAGCTCTTGGCTGTGCTGGGGCTGCCACAGGAAAAAACAGGGCTGGGAAATAGGAAAACACCAAAAAAAGCTGGAAAAATAAGCCTGAACTCAATTCCCTGGAACACTCAATCCTGCCCTGCTTGGTTTAAAAGCAGGCTCAGGCTGAGTTCCTTTCAGCAAATTGAATTAAGATGTTAAGAAAACCCCACCTTTGGAATAATGGACATTCCCAGCTTTTTTTATTTTTAATGGAAAAATCAAGGCAAACCTTTTAGAAGTGATATTCCCTTAGGAACAACTTTTTCCTTGATTTTGTGTGGATGCAGGGGAATAAGAGCTCCTCCCTGCTCACAAACCCTCAGGACCTGTCAGACTCTAAATCCTCCTCCCAGCTCCGGGCCAGATCCCAGGACCTGCTGCCCAAAACTCTGCTGGGCTGTTCCCACTTGGAGCATTCCCATTTGGGGATACAAATCCAGGGAGGTGGGTGGCAGGTGAGCAAAGCAAACCTGGCTGATTGTTCAGTCCTGGAGCAGCAGTTATGCCATCCTTCCTGGGAGAGCCTGCAGGGAAAAACCTGGAATATCCCAACCTGGATTTCCACACCGAACACCCACAGATATCAAAAATCCCCCCAAGTCCTGTGTGACCAAATCCAGGTGGTTTTCCCCCAGGCAATGGGTGATGAGCAATGACCCTTGAGGGGGAAACAGCAGGCCTGGGATGTGCTTTCCCATCCCAAAGCATCCCAGGAAATCCCAAAGCATCCCAGGGAAAAATGGTTACAACTTCCTGCATGTTATATTTCAAATTACTCATTTCAATCTCAGCGTGCTCTTAAGGATTCTGAGCCTTGTAACCACCCTAGCCAGAAAATTCCCTGGAGAAATTGATCCTTTGGGTGTTTATGCACTGGTAAAAGTGGTCAAAATTCGGGAAAAAACTCCTGAAAAGGAATGTAAACAGTCTTCAGGCAGGTTTGAGAGCGAGTCTGTGGCTCAGAGCTGTACAGACTATTTAAGGAGAAATAAATACCAGTACATGCTAAAAGACAAGGTTTAATCATTGATAAAAATGTACAAAAATATTCCAAGGACAGCGGCTTCCCAATTTTCTCACCAAGCAGGGCTGGGGGCACCTTCCTGAACGTGCAGGGGCTGGAAAACAGGGCTGGAGCTGCTTCCTCCTCCCTCCTCTGGGCTGTGCAGGTACATTCTGCAGCAGGTTCTTAAGGCAACACATGGAATTGTGTTTAACATTGGATTTTTATTCCTAAGTTTTCGGAAGCGGGAGAGAAACGCTGGAGAAACAGCCAGGGCTGGGCCGGGGTGGGATTTGGGGAATGCCGAGGTGGTTGTGTCCCAAACGCTCCCTCTGCCGGCACAGCAGGAGAATTCCCATCCACAACATTCCCTGGGCTTTGGGATCGATGGGAGTCGGGACACCAATGAGTCTTGGACAAAAGCCCCGGTGCCAAACAACCCCACAATCCAGGGGATTGCACAACACATCAGGACACGGATTCCTTCTCCTGCTTATTCCCCAAAAAAAATCCCACCCAACCAAATCCATCAAAGAACGAAAGCACAAAGAATTAAATTAGGAGTTTTTTTCCTGAAGCTGAACTGGGCTCTGCCCAGGCAGCCCAGGGTTGTTCCCTGCCTTGGGAAGGACATCGGGAAAGTGCTTGGGGACGCTGCTGCCACCTCCGTGTCCCCTCCAGGGGATCCCAGCCCCCATCCCGCCCCGCAGCTCCAGGCCAGGCACAGCTTTGCCCTCAGAATTCCATGGATTTTTCTACTTTTGACTGGATTGAAGTGGTAAAAAACTAAAAGCCACCGTTGTTGTGGCCATGGGCCACCGGCCTCTGGCCCCAGGGCCTTGCCCACACAAGGCTTGGTTTTATTTTGCCACCTGTAAACATTTTTGGTATCAAGGATCTTCTCACTGATCTTCATCCAGCTGCTCCAAAAGAGTCCTCCTCTGTTTCTCCAGCTCGCCCTCGCTGAGCTCGCTGCCAGAGGTATCCCAGTTTCCCTGTGGAGAGACGGGACAGTGTCAGGATGGGATTGTCCAGGGAGGTTCCTCAGCCAGAGCCGGCTGCTCTGTGCCACTCAGAAACCCCAAAATCCAAACCAGGGAATGGCAAAGACCTCCAGGATCCTCAAATGCGAGCTCTGACCTCTCCCGGAGCACACCTATGGAGTGCACCCAGCAGAGCCCAAAGCATCAGGAAAAACAGGAAGCAGAGCTTACGGAATCTTTTCCAGGCCGTTTTTTAGTGGGAGATTTATGCTTGGACTCAGATCTCTGTCTGGCTCTTTCCTTCTCACTGTCCCTCTCTCTTTCCTTCTTGTCCTTCTCTCGTTCCACATCAGATTCTGGTGAATCCTGTGGAAAAAAAAAAGGGAATAATGAATATTAATGTTGAATATTTTTAAAGTCCAACTTCCATTTAAAGAATTGTAGAATCATGGAATGATTTAACTTGGAAGGGACTTAAAATCTCATCCCATTCCACCCCTGCCACGGGCAGGGACACATTCCCCTATCCCAGGTTGCTCCAGGTTGTCCACCCTGGCCTTGGACACTTCCAGGGATGGAGCAACAACAGCTCCTCTGGGCACCCTGTGCCAGGGCCTGCCCACCCTCCCAGGGAGAAGTGAAGCCCCTTCTGCATTTTGGATCCTTTTGCTGCTCTTGTACAACTCAGAGCTTCCAACACAACCCTGATGCCCAGGCAGGCACGAGGAATGGCTGGGATCCTTCCCAGCACCCCCCAAGGAAGAACACCTGGATTTGCCAGGATAAACAGCAAATCCCAGGACTCATGGAGTCCTTCACCTGGAGCTAAACCCTCCAAATTCAGCAGTTTTAAGTGGTTTAATATTAGGAATATGTAACAGAAAGTTGTTATTCTGGCAATACCCTCCCCAAGCTTGATCCCCATTTTTCCCTAGGAAAATCCAGCTGGGATTATTGACACAGCAGGTGCCAGGTTGTCCAGAACCCAACTAAAAACTGAGCTTCACTTACAGACTTGTGCCTCCTCTTCTTGCTCTTCTTCTTGTGTTTTTTGGACTTCTTGTAACTCCTCTCTGCAGCCACAGGGAGAAACAAAACGCCCAGGAATCAATGGATAAATGCCAAAGGAGAACAGCACAGCTGGCTTAAAGCCAATCCCATCCCCTCCCATACCGGACTCGGCGCTGGAAGAACGCTCCGACACCGACCGCGATTCCGAGCGCTGCCGCTTCTTCTTGGAGTGGCTGTCGTCATCCTCGGACTCTGAGCCCTTCACACACAGCCCAGGGGAGAATTCCAGTTAGTAATGGGAATTCCAGCAGCACCCAGCACGGCTGGGAATGGCAGAGGGAGGGTTTTCAGGGATACTCACGGAGCGGGAGCGCGAGCGCTTCCGGTGGTGTTTTTTGGATTTCTTCGAATGTTTCTTGGTCTTGGAGTGGTGGTGTTGGCACTCGTGCTGTGGGCAAGGAAAGGAGGAGAGAGCTCAGAATTCCAGCAGGGATTAGCCTTGGAAAGGCCCTGAAATCCCAGCTTGTTCCACCATGGGTAAGGACAACTTCCCTGGAGCAGGGTGCTCCAACCTGGCCTTGGACAGTTCTAGGGACGGGGCAGTAAAACCTCATCAGCTCCTTCAGGACATCCCACATCCACAAAAGTTGGGAAAAGATAAAAACTCCAGAATCATCATTTCATGGCAGAACCACCTCATCAGCTCCTTCAGGACATATGGGATGGCTTTCCTTATCCACAAAAGTTGGGAAAGGATAAAAACTCCAGAATCATCATTTCATGGCAGAACCACCTCATCAGCTCCTTCAGGACATCCCAAAAACCTGATGGGATCTTTCTCCTCATCCACGAAAGTTGGGAAAGGATAAAAACTCCAGAATCACCATTTCATGGCAGAACCACCTCATCAGGTCCTACAGGACATCCCAAAAATCTGATGGGATCTTTCTCCTCATCCACAAAAGCTGGGAAAGGATAAAAACTCCTCCATCACCTTTTAATGTCAAAACACCTAAAAATGGGCACTGCTGCCACGTTGGAGCTGCAATAAAGGAGCCAGGAGCAAGGAACAACAGCTGGGTTCCCATGGATCTGCTCCCTGGATCCAGGTTAAGCCTGGCCTAAACCCACCCCTTGCTCTGCCTAATTGGAAATTACAGAATTAAAAGCCAAAATTTCAGTTCAAATTCTTCCAAACTGCAAGAAATGCAGCAAAACCCCCAAGGGTGAGAGCTGAAAAATCAAATTTATCTCCTGGTATCACTTTATGGAAAAAATTCCATTAAATCCTTCCCCTTCCCACTCAATGTAAAAGGAATTTTTCTTGTTGTCCAATGATTTCAAAAATAAAGGAACAATTACCTCAAGTACATGAAGGAAATCCTTAAATATCCTTTTCCTTTCAGATTCCAGGGTGATGTCTTCAAATGCTGGTTCCTTCACAAATCTGTCTCTGATCTGTCAGGAAAATTAATTCCATTAATGATATTCAAAGAAATTAAATTATAAATGTATTAAAATATTAGGATAGAAGAAATAGAAGAAAATAAAATATAATGTAGTAATGAAAATGGCAATAAGAAATAAGAAAACCAGTAAGAAATAATAATAAAAACTATATAAATAATAATGAATAAAGATAAAAATAATAAAAATAGTAAGGCATAATAAAAGTAATAAGAAAGATAAGAAATAAAATAAAATAAGAAAACTAAAGCCCTGAAAAAAATGGAAAAAAAAAATTAACAGAAATATGAAGAAATAATAATAAAAAAAAATAATAAAAATAGTAAGGCATAATAAAAGTAATAAGAAAGATAAGAAATAAAATAAAATAAGAAAACTAAAGCCCTGAAAAAAATGGAAAAAAAAAATTAACAGAAATATGAAGAAATAATAATAAAAAAAAATAATAAAAATAAAATAGAAAAATTTTGAAAATAATTTAAAATATTATTTTCACTAGTTGAAATAAATAATAAGAAAACTAAAGCCCTGAAAAAAATGGAAAAAAACAATAATAACAGAAATATGAAGAAATAATAAAAAAATAATAAAGATAATAAAAATAAAAATAATAGAAAAATTTTGAAAATAATTTAAAATATTATTTTCACTAGTTGAAAAGCCCCTGAACTGCTGTAAGGCTAAATTTTTCACCCCAGATTTCCAAGCAAATCCCAAATTTCCAGTGCTCAGGGAAGCTCTGAACTCATGGAAACATGGAGAATCCTACTGTTCTCCCTGCACATTCCATTTAAGCTTAAAAAACCCCAAATCTTTATATAAATTATCCTTGGAAAGGAAAGGTTTTCCAGGGTATTTTATCCAGGACAAAGTTCTAAATCATTTCAATTCACTTTGTGGGGGATTCTGGGATTTTCTGAGGGGGGTTTGCGTTTTTAGGATGTTTTTGTCTCAGAAGGATGAAGCTTTTCCCACCCAACCCCAAGTTCTCCTGAAGAATCCACGGGGTCTGATGGGATTTTGCAGCCCCCATCAGCAGAAGCAGGAAGAGCCTGGTGAACGCTCCTTTTTTAAGGGCCTGCTTGGGAATTTGGGAATGTTTTCCCCAAGGAATTCTCCTCCTTACATCCTCCCAGACAGCATCCAGCTCGATGGGAGGGGTGGCTTGTTTCAGCATGCTCTTGAAGGCCGATTCCTTCCTCTTCATCTTCCGGGCCTCCTCCTTCTCCCGCTCGCGCTCCCGCGCTTCCGCCTTCTCCAGCAGCTGTGGGAATCCAAGGAAGAGAATTCCATTTACTGGGAATTCTGCACAGCTCACCCTCAGAGCTGTGTCTGAGGAAAACACAAGGAAATTAACCGCTTTTCCTGTATTTAATGAATAAATCAAAGGGATGATATTGAATTATTTTGTCGAAAATGAATCAATTCTTTCTTTTTCAAGCGTGGAATTGCTGTTGGTGAAAATCCAATGATGCAAAACTACAGAATCACACAAATCAGGAGAAATTATGGACAAACAGGAGAGCATCACTGAATACCCATCCCAGAATTCCTCAAGTCTGGGAATGCTGACTGCTTGGACTAAGGTTTATTTTTATTGTGACAACTGAAATCAGTTAAGTAACCCTAAATAACAGATTATTCCTCAAATATTATGGAATTAGTTAGAAAATAAACGCTAATTCCTGTCTGGAGAAGGGATTTCACATCCTAATTATCCAGATATCCCAATTAATTATTTATTAATTCATACTTACACTGTTGAAAGCCAGCTTGATATTCCCTGCATCCAACGTGGTGGCTCTTTTAGTGGAGCTGATGACAGTGACAAAATCCTCAAAGGAAGTGTTCACCTCCACCACAAATCCTTTATCCTGGAAAAAACAGCTCCTTTGGCACGAGGGAAATCAGGAATTCCTGCAATTCCAAGGAAATCCCAGCTCCCTGGGATGGGAAATGTGCAATTCAAGGAGGAGCCAGGTAATGCTCACCTTTAAGATGTCTTTAATTATCTTCTTCTCGTCGTGGTAACGAGCTTTTAAATCCTCCACGTAAAACTTGAACAGGTCGAGCGCCGTTGATCCTGAGGGAAGGTTTTGGTAAGCCACAGGTCAGGTTTAACCCCAGAGCTGCATTTTTAGGTGTTAGAAAGTAGGAAGGAATGCTGTGGCCTGCCCCAAAGCCTGGGATTTCCCCTCCTTACCAGGCTGGCCCAGCATGCTGGTGAATCTGATGTCAGAGCTGATGGCTGGGTACAATTCCATCCAGGAGGACATGGAGTGTAACTGTCCATGCTCGTGCAGCTCATCCAGAAACAGCTGCAAAACACAAGGCAAATGGGAATTTGGAGTCATTCCTCAAGCTTCTCCTTGGTACCAGCTGGGATGGATTGGCTTGGTAACTGAAATTCCGTTCTTGTTCCAACAGGATTGAAAAATCACCTTTTCCCTTGTTCTTCCTGCTCTTCTCCACCACCTACAACATTCCAGCTGCATCTCCTTCCCATCCAGGCCTATTCCCTCTGATTTTTCCCTTGAGTGTAACACAGCAGGGAAAATGCCACAACCCCACACCTCAGGCTTTGAACACCCCCTTGAATCGACCCTCAGAAATAAAAAAAAACCCACGTGGAATATCCTATGATATCCCATGACATTTTTAGGACAGAACCCCAAATTCCACCAACCTGGAAAGATTCCCTGTTTTTACGCTGCCTCCTCCTTTCCCTCAGCAAACTTTTCTGCTTCTCTTCCTCCTCCTCTTTCTCCAAGGCCCTGATGTGTTCCTCAAAACAGATCAGGGCATCCTCCTTGTCCATGTCTAGCAAGAACACAGGGAGAACGGGGGAAAAAAATCAGGTTATTCCTTCCAAGTCAGCAAGAATCCTCCTCCCCAGAGAATTCCAGAGCCCACAGACATACTCTGGAGCTCCTCATCCTCGGCAAAGGTGGGGTTGTCCATGAGGTACTGCTGGGCCTCTGACCAGGTGGTGCAGTAGGTGACGTTGGCCATGTTATCCAGGATGTTCTTCAGAGCTTCCCAGTTCCTCTTGCGCAGCTGCTTGGCTTGTTCCTGAGGGGAAAAGTTTATTTTTTGGGCTCAGTTTGAGGTGGTTTGGATAGAAATGTAAGATATCTAGTGTGTTCTCCGAGGAAATATGAAATTAGTCTTTAATTTATACAAAATCATGGAATTCTGCAGTGGTTTGGGTTGGAAGGGTCCTTAAAGCTCATCCCATTCCAATCTCCTGCCCTGGACAGGGACTAGGTTGCTCCAAGCCCCATCCTTGGACACAAAACAACACAATTTTTCCATCTTATTATTATTTCACTGATCCAGAATAAAATCCATCATGTGATTGACTAAAATCCCCCAAAAATTCAACACATGGTGAAATCAGCAGGAATAAATCCCAATAAACCCAAAAACCTTCCCTAAAAGCTGTTTATCTGCCATAGAGCCTCAAGCACAAGTGGTTTAGGAACAAGTGAGGAGATGCTGGATGGATTTGAAGGGAACTTACCTTCTCCTTCTTGGACAGGAAAAACAGAACATCCTCATAAATCTCCAGCCGGTCCCGCTCGGATATGGCATTCCACACTTCCATCTCCCCAAACATCTGTTCAGCTTTTCTGGGCAAAGCAAATGAAAACCACACGACTATTTATTGATTTATTGGTGACTGAATGATCCATCGATTCCCCAGAACATCAGGGAGAGCTCTGTTCCAAGAAGGAACACTTTTAGGAATTCTCCTTGATTTTCCCTCTTGGGAAGTGGTTTTTTTTGTTTTTTTTTTTTGTGGCATCTTTTGAATTTTCATAAAGGAAAAAAAAAAATCTAAAAATGGAAGTTGATGCCACTCCAAGCAGTGCATCCCATCAGGATTTTTATCCCAAGTGTCTTACTTGTATCTGGTGGTGGATGTCATCTTCTCATGGTTTTCCAGGAAGCGTTGGAAGGATTCCTTGGCCTCCTTGTACTTGGATCTGGCTTCTTCCTTCTCCTCCTTCTCTGTCTGAACTTTGTAGGCATTAAAGGCCTGCTTCTTTTCACTCAGTTTTGCCAAAGCACTTCCCAGGAAAGAAAAGCAAAGAGCAATGTTATTTATAAATCAAAAAAATCAGGAAAAGACAAAATCAGAAAAGGAGAATCAGAAAAAAAAGAAAAAAGAAAAGAAAATCAAAGAATCAGAAGGAAAAAAAATGGAAAGCAAGAAAACTAGGAAAAAAACAAGAAAACCAGGAAAAAACCCAAGTAAACCAGGAAGAAAAAAAAACAGGGAAAAAAAAAATAAAACAAGAAAAAAAAACCCCAGAACAATCAGAAAAAGAAGAAAAAGAAAATAAGAAAAATAAATAAGAAAATCAAAACCAGGAAGCAAAAAACAACATTTTGAATAATCTAGATTTGAGATAAAATTAGTCTGAACATTTTAATCCCTAAATCAGCATAAATTACTAACTTCCACTTATTCCCAATAAAAAGGAAGCTGTTGGAAGCATCTCCTTATGGAGGGAAGGAAGACAATTCCCTGCCAATGGCACACAGAAGTTGGGATTTTTTGGAAGTAAATTCCCTAAGAAAAGGTTTGTGAGGAATTGAAGGAGGACTCAGTACCTGTATCTGGGGTCATTAATGATCATTTTCATGGCCTGCTCCCAGGAAGCATTGGATGGAACCCGCTGTGAAAACAGGAAATTATGGATGAATCAGACCTGGAATTAACATCCAACAAGGAATAATTCCTTAAAAACAGCCATGGGGAAAAGAAAAAAACGAACATTTTACTTTGAACCTAAAACAACACTTCACTGCAATGCTCTTTTCTTTCATTTCCTCAAGAGTGAGGAATTCTTCCCCCAAAAAAACCAAGTAAAATCTGGCAAATAAAACAGAAATCAAACCAGGTTTTGTAGTTCAAGAAAACATTAATAATTGGTTAATAAAATATTAATAATTGGCTCAAATACCTTTTCTTTTAGCAGTTCTTTAAATGCTTGTTTGGCCTCTTCCTTTGTGTTCCACGTGTAGGTTTTTTTAACTGGTTGGGCATCCTCATCCTCCTTCTTTGCAGCAGCACTAAAGCAAAAGGAGTTTTATTATTTCAGCATTTTTTTCTAAGTTAGAGGCACTGAAAGAGTCAAAAACCATCACAAAATGAGTTTTCTAAATAGCAACTCCAAGTAAAAAAATAATTCTAATAATTCATACAAGGGTTTTCCTTACAGGCACCACAACTGATGAAAAAGAGATCAAAAAAATAAATTACTGAGGCAAAATATTTCCCTCCTGCAGCTGGCTGCCTGCTAAAGCTATCTAAAAATTATTCCTAAAAATGTAATGTTGAAGTTCAGCATCACTATTAATATTTTACAAAAAATATAAAGAGAAGTGCATAAAAATGGGCCTCTTCTCCTTAATTATGTCCTGCTGCCTAAAATTCCCAAAAGCATTTTATTTTTGAATGATAAAAATCTTAATTATAATTTTACACATAACAGATTTTTCGTTATTAAAAAAAAAAAAGGAATCCTGGCCGGAACAGATAAAAATCCCTTTAGTATTTTATTTTCTTCCAGTGATAACCCATGGCACAGATCCATGGAAAAGGAGCATAAATAGGGAAGTGTTTAATGGCAAATTCTTACAGATCCTGGAAAATCCATGGAATGTTCCTGTCACTGATGCCGCTGAGAAATGAAAAACTGCAGCAAAGCCTTGAGATAAATTATCATGGAATCATGGAATGGCTTGGATGGGAAGGGGCAGTAAAGCCCACCCGGCTCCATGGCAGGGACACCTTCCACTGTCCCAGGTGCTCCCAGCCCCCATGTCCAACCTGGCCTTGGGCACTGCCAGGGATCCAGGGGAAGCCAGCTTCCCTGTGAAACCTGTGCCAGGGCCTCATCACCTTCCCAGGAAATGATTTCTTCCCAATCCCTCGTCTAAGGCTGCCTTCCATCATCTCAAAGCCATTCCCTCTTGTCCTGTGGTAAATTATTCATTCCCTTGAAGAACTTGCTTTAAGTGGGAAGACCTTGGTGTTTGGGATGGGAACCATGGAATGGGTTGGGTGGGAAGGGACATTAAAGATCATCCCACGGACAAGGACACCTTTCCACTGTCCCACAATGCTCCAAGCCCTGTCCAGCCTGGCCTGGGACAGTTCTAGGGATCCAGGGGCAGCCACAGCTTCTCTGGGAATTTCATCCCAGCGCCTCAGAGGGAACGATCCCCCTTAATATCCCACCCAAATGCACTTTCCCGGAGCTGACACCCATCCCCTGGCACTCACTCTCCCGAGGCCTCCTGCTTGGCCGCCTCATCCGTGGCGGCCGCCGCGGCGTCCGCGCTCCCGTCCTGCGCGCCGGGCGCGGCGCTGCCCTGGCCCTGCTCCTCGGCAGTGGCTGTGCCAGCGGTGTCCGTGTCCCCCGCCGCAGCGGCCGGGGCAGATTCCCAGCTTCCCCGGCGGCGGCCGGAGCCGAGGCGGCGGCAGCCGCGTCCTCCGGCTTCGTGCTGGGGACAAAAACAACAACCGTCACCTGCGGGCACGGCTCTCGAGATTTGGGGCAAAGGGGCAGCTTAGGGATGTGGTAAATGTGGGGAAGGAGGGGTTTAGGGTGAGTTAAACTCGGAAAAGGTTTACAGGCCCTCAGGGAAAAGGGTTTGTGAGGCGCTCAGGGAAAAAAGTGTTGAAGACCTTCAGGAAAAAAAGGGGTGAAGAGCCTCAGGAAAGAGGGGTTGAAGACCCTCAGGGAAAAAAGGGTGAAAGCCCTCAGGAAAAAGGGTGTAAAGGCCCTCAGGAAAGAGGGGTTGAAGACCCTCAGGAAGAAAAAGGTTGAAGGCCCTCAGGGAAAAAAAAAAAGGGTTGAAGGCCCTCAGGAAAGAGGGTTTGAAGAATCCTAAGAAAGGTTTGAAGGCCATCAGGAAAAAGGGTTGAAGAGCCTCAGTAAAAAAAAGGGCTGAAAGGCCATCAGGAAAAAAGGTTTGTAGGAGCCTAGGGAAAGTTTGAAGGCCCTCAGGAAAAAGGTTTAAACTTCCTCAGGAAAGGTTTGAAGATCCCCAGGAAAGGCTGAAAGACCCCCAGAAAAAGTTTGAAGGCCCGCAGGAAAAGATCAGCATAACATTAAGAATGTACCTGTTTTCTTCAGCTTTAATCATTGCTAGGGAGAAAAAGGAGAAAAACAATTAAAATATAGCTTTAGAATAGTTCATATACATATGGAGTTCTGGTAATTCTTGATTTAATAAAAGGAAAGTTTTAAATGTTTTTGTTACTATTAAAAATTTTAGTATTTGTGCCCTTCAAAGACTGAAATCAATCAAGATTAAAAAAAGTTTAGAAATGCTATTACAGAAAGATTGGAGAATATAAAAATGACTTTTTGGTTTAAAATAATTCAAACACTCAGAGAGGCAGGATTATTAAACAGAATTTTAAGAATGAAAATATTTAAATTACTGCTGCCTATTATTTTTTTTACACTTATTCTTCCCCCCCCCAACTGATTTTGTTGCCATTTAAATAAACAATGTAATTAATTCATATACATTTCTAAAAATACAAGTCCAGCTCTTTTACCTTCAAGATCCTCCAGCTCTTTGGGTTTTGCCCAGCGGGATTCCTTTGTTTGGGAATTGTAATAATAAGGCTTCCCAGAATCTGATTTATACTCCTTCCAGGGACACTTGGACAACAATTGCTGATGGAGAGAAAACAAAGATTTTCCAAGGAAAATCTCCTTTAGTAACTCCTTAAATAAGGATTCCTGCTTCCCCCTTAATTATTCCTGAGCCTTAAATAAGCAATTAGGAACATCATTAGGTGGGATAATTATGGGGCACAAGGTCTTGGGTGTATTAATTCCTGGTGCTCTTCCCTCTTGGAATTCCTTCAAATTAAGGAAAAAAAAAAATCAACCAAATTCCAAGTTTTCCCACCATTTTCCTTGTAGATTTAGCTTTGCTTAAGGTTTATTTTCAGCTCTCAGCTACAAACACCAATTATTGCTCAGGAAAACAGAAAAATTGGCTTAAAAGGGAAAATAAATCACATTGGATCAATTTGATTTGCTATTATCCAACAGGAATAAACCAGGGGAATTCCCAGGAATTTGTTGTATATTTTAAGAGCACTGATTTGACCAAAATGGTAATTTTTTAGGAATTTTTTCTTCTCTAAACACTTCTCTAAATTATATTTCTATTACTTCTCCAAATAATAAAAAAAGACAGATTTTTTTTTTAAATAAAAAAGCCTAACTAAAAATGAGGAAAACGGAGGAATTTTGGCCACTTTGCACCCTCAGGTTCTCCCAACATAAGGAGAACAATCCAAACATTTCTCATCGGAAGAGTTTGCTCCCACTTCTTCCAGCAGAATTCTCCCTGCTGCAGGTGTCAGGCTTGGAAATCCTCACGTTCCCACAGCATCCCAGAATGAATTTGGGATTTGGTTACCTCAGCAGGGGTTTTGAGGTCATCTGGCTTCTCCCACGTGGACTGCTTGGTCTCCGTGTTGTAGTAATAAGTTCTTCCATCCGGAGATTTGTGCTCCGTCCACGTGGATTTCTGGCAAGATCCCGAGCCAAATTAATAATGATGCAAAAAAACCCAAAAAAATGGGATCCAGCTGCACAAAAGCAGCGGGATACAAACCTGCTTGGAGTGCTCCTCGCTGGCAGAGCTGCTGGTGGTGGAGCTCTGCTGCACTGTGGAGACCACGGGATGCGTTGTCTGAGGAGGAGACAGAACAGGCCTTGGAAAATCCTCATTAACTGGTGGCTTTCACCCAAACACCCTGGATTTTTCCAAGTGGTTCAGCAGCACAGGAAAGGCAGGGAGCCAAATTCACACCTTAAGTCAGTATTTTTCCCAAAAACCTCCTTCTTTTGGAGCGGAGCTGTTCAACCGCACGTTCCCAAGGGTATGATTCCCACCAGGAAGTGCAAGTGAAGGGGTCACACTACAACAAACCCAAGGCACAATTCCAGCAGCACTCCCTGCTCCCAAATCTTGAGGAGAATTTGCTTTAGGAAGATTCTGGCTCCCTGAGCTCCCTCACACCACACTTCCTGCTGCTTTCCACAGCCAGCTTTCCCATGAATTCCCTGGAATCAGGACTGCATCCAGGTACTAGGGAGCAGGGATTGGATACGGCCAGGGAAAACTGGATTTCCTGACAGGCCAATAGACAGGATGAAAATTCCATGGAAATAATGTGAATATCACCTATTTAATAATTAAGGAGGGACAAGGCCCACAGATTTCAAGGAACAACCAAAAACTTGGAAAAAAGCAGGGGAGGAAAAAATTGAATTAAGGTTTTCCTCTAAATCCCTAAAACCAAGTTTGCCCCACACCACACCGGAGTTCCAACCTTCTGGAATTGTGCTTTCCACATACCTGAGTCCCAGGAGGGGTCACACCTGAAAAATAAATAATTAAAAATGAATAAAAGGTCTGGTTGCTTCGTTTTCCTAAATATTCCTCCATGTGTGCAAGGAAAAAAATGTCCCGGGCAGCAGTGGAGACCCCAGGACTGAAATGCTCCATTCCATTTTAGGGAAAAGGGGAATTTTTAAATGTTTCAGCTGATTTTTGGTTAAATGTTTTGAAATTATATCAAGTTGTTTTACTCACCTACTTGTGCATCCATGCTGTTCACTCCTGGCTGTAAAAATAATTAAAACAATTAAATACTTAAACAATTAAATGTAAGTAATTCATTCCTGAGGAATTAAATCCTAAAAATAATTCCAATACTCATTACCCAAACAAGGGTTTTCTGCCACAAAAGGCTCAATTCCTTAAATAAGGATTCCTGCTTCCCCCTTAATTATTCCTGAGCCTTAAATAAGCAATTAGGAACATCATTAGGTGGGATAATTATGGAGCACAAGGCTTTGGGTGTATTAAAGTAGCATGCATGGAGCTCTTTCTTTGTGAAATTCCTTCAAATTAAGGAAAAAAATCAACAAAATTCCAAGTCTTCCCATCATTTCCCTTGTGGATTTAGCTTTGCTTAAGGTTTATTTTCAGCTCTCAGCTACAAACACCAAATATTCCTGAGGAAAACAGAAAAAATGGTCAAAAAGTGAAAATAAATTACATTGGATCAATTTGATTTGCTATTATCCAAAATAAACCAGGAAATTCCTAAGAATTTGTTGTGTATTTTAAGAGCATTAATTTGACCAAAACAGCAATTTCTAGGAATTTTTTAATGTGTTTTAAGAGTATTAATCTGACCAAAATACTGATTTTTAGGAATTTCACTGCTTCAAATCAGTACAGCCAAGGATTGTGCTCAGCACTACAGGAAATTCCATAGGAATTCAGGGATTTAAATCTGCATGGGAAAAAAACTCATTAAAATAATTTATTTCTAAATTGAAATGACTGGAACTGGTTTCAAGTGAATCTCTTAGGCTTGCACTAAATTTATTTCTTAAGAACAGGATTTGAATTTTTTCCCCCTCAGAGATTTTATCTATATTTTAACTTTTCCCTCTCTGTTTCCACCCAAAGAATTCCTCATTCCTTGAGCTATTCCAGCAATTTTTATACTCAACTGAGTTTCACGAACTTCTAGTAAAAAATCTCTTTAATACTGAATTAAAGAGATTAATATCTCACCTAATGATTAATTAAAACCCTTAAAAAATTGCAATTTAATACAGAAGAATCTCTTGGTCAGACAATTTAACAATCCAAGGTCACAGTGACTCCTTCCAAATTCCAGGAAGTGAAGGATAAGGAATTAAAGGAAAATTAAAACAATTTAAAGACTGATAAAAATCACAAAAATCTTATTTTTGTAATTACTCAAGACCACATAAAACTCCACTGTAACGAAAAACACATTTAAAATTTAAATTCTTATCTTCTAATTAAAGAAAGCAAAGAGTGATCAAGAGCAACTGCTAAAAAGAGCTTTTAAAAACTAAAAAAAAAAGGAAATTACACTCACAGGAACCGTGGGCTGCATGGCAGCCTGGGACATGTGGGACATCATCATTCCAGGCATCACCGACTGCATCATTCCAGGCATCTGGAATTCAAGAGCATTTCCCATAGATTTTATCATATTCTCAACACAAAACACACTATTTTTATTTAAAAGCCATCATGTGATACTTCTTTTTAATTTAAAACAAAACAAACCAAACATTCCCTCTGAGGCAAGGAAAAATCAGATTTGTGGGATTGTGATTCCCTTCATCACATTCCCACTAAATTGGGATATTCCTGTTAGGAATGGCATGTCCAGATTCCAAAGCTGGACAGGAAATATCAATAAAAACCATTAAACTCCAAAGGAACAATAGCAAATGATGTGGGAGCTGATTCCTGAGTGGAAGCAGGAAAAGCAAAGGTTGGGAATGATTCCTGCAGAATTCCAAGGCTACAGGGAATAAAGGAACAAAGCAAAGGTGAACTCCCAGGTGTGACATTTACCTTCAGCTTTTTGCTCTCCATCTACCAAAAAGTCCTGAGTTGCTCCATGAAATATGAACTATTGAAATATTCCCTGGCTAAGAGTGGGAATTGAGGAAAAGGAGGTCCAAAAAAGCAGAGAAACAAACCAGAACTTCTACTTCCCTTCCTAATGAACACATATGGTGCTAATGAGTCAAATCCCCCTCAGTTTTTAAAAATTGCTTTATTTTTACCCCAGAAGCTGCAAATCCCCACTGAAAAAACTCCCAACTTAAGGAAAACAGGGATGCTGTGTCCAAGGAATTGCAAAGGAAGAGGAGTTACCACCACGGGCTGTTCCCAAAGGTTTCATCCTTCCCTGCCTCTCTTCCATAATCCAGCACCACAAGGAGCATCCCAAGGACATTCAGCATTCCTGGGATATTTATTACACCCACAAGGAGAATGATTTCTTTTAAGAGCTGAGGATTTCGTCACAAACCACACAGGAAATGTGGTAATTGAGAAGAAAAGGTGCCAAAAGCAGGGCCAGGCTCGTGGCTGTGTCACCTGCCAGGGCTTTTCCAATCCCATGGCATCAGCAGCAATGGGATACAGGGATTGCAAACCAGCCCCCAGGATTCCAACAGGAATTCTGCAAAAATTCCTCACTTCGTTGTTTCTTCTCTTGCTGTAATGTTCACATGAGTGGATGGAGGAATTGGCCAACACTTACAGAAACCTGAACTCCCAAGAGAAACTTATCCCTTCAAAATCTACAGGAAACTTCCAAAAAAACTTGAATAAATACCGAATTATAGATTGGTAATTAAAGGTGCATTAATTACGTGCTCTCATTCCAAAAACTTTAATAAATCCCAAATGATGGGTTGAAAGTTAAGAGGTGCATTAATTACCTGCTATCATCCAAAAAACTTTAATTATAAATCCGTAGTTTAGGATCTATTAAAGTTAGAGGTGCATTAATTACCTGTTCTCATTCCAAAAAAAAACTTTGAATTCATCATTTTGGATTTATTAAAGTCATGGATACATTAATTAACTGTTCTTATTCCAAAACAGTTGAATAAATCCCAAATTATGGACTGATAATTAGAGGTGCATTAATTCCCTGTTCTCATTCAAAAAAAAAAAAACTTTGAATCCATCATTTGGGATTTATTAAAGTCAGGGATACATTAATTAACTGTTCTTATTCCAAAACAGTTGAATAAATCCCGAATTATGGACTGATAATTAAAGTTAGAGGGGCATCAATTACCTGTTCTCATTCCAAAACACTTGAATAAATCCCAAATTATGGACTGATAATTAAAGTTAGAGGGGCAACAGTTACCTGTTCTCATTCCAAAAAAAAACTTTGAATCCATCATTTGGGATTTATTAAAGTCAGGGATACATTAATTAACTGTTCTTATCCCAAACCACTTGAACAAATCCCAAATTATGGACTGCTAATTAAAGTCAGAGGTGCATCAATTACCTGTTATCACACCGATTTCTAATTAAATATACAGAGGAGCATCTGCTCTCCATAAGAAGAGTTTCACCCCGGCCAGGATCAAACCCCCTTTCCTTTTCCCAGGAGATCTCCCCACCTCAGGGATCCCTGGCAACGAAAGGCTGCTGGAATTGCCTTACCTGCCCCATCGGGGGTCCTCCCATGGGGGGCATCATCTGAGGCATCATCCCGTGGGGAACCGGGGGCATGTTGGGGGGTCTCTGGCCCATGGGGTGCATCCCCATGGGGGGGTAGTGGGGCATTCCCGGGTGGCCCATCTGGAAAACAACAACAAGCAGGGACAGTCAGCAGCGAGGCAGCCACCCCAAACACGCCCACCAAAGGGAAGAAGGAAAAGCCCTTTCCCTGAGTTTTTAATTAATCCAACTCTTCCGGAACTTTCTGCTTCACACACATGCAACTTAAGATAAAGCAGAATCTCCCTTTGGGAAATACATTTAGTAGGAGGGAAAAAAATAAATCAAATTAGTCATCACAGAATCCCAGAATGGTTTGGGTGGAAGGGACCTTAAAGTTCTTCCAGTTTCACCCTCTGGGACACCTTCCACTATCTCAGGTGCTCCAACCCGGCCTTGGACACTTCCAGGGATGGGGCAGCCTGGAAATCCATCCCAGGAATCCCCACCCTCCCAGGGAAGGAATCCTCCCCTCATATCCCCTAACTCTGCCACCTTTCAGTCCAAAAGCAGTTTTCCAGTGGTTTTTTCTTCTCCCAGAAGTCTCCCTGGGGCTGGGAGTCACACAAAGAAACCATGAGCAACTAAAAAGGTTTCAATCTTCTGGGCAGAACTTGACTTTTCCCAGTCACATCCTCTCACAACACATGCAGTGACAGCCCCTGTTTCCCAAGCCCCAGGTAATTCCAGGTGGAACGGGGTGTCCTAGAAGTCTCCTCTGACCCTTTCTGGAGTGCTGATTTACTTTCAGAGAGACCTACCACCCTGGTGCTCAGGAGGTCCTCCCAAGCCTGCTTTCCTCCAGGCTGAGCCCCTTTCCAGCTCCCTCAGCTACTCCTGGCGCTCCAGATCCTTCTCAGCTCTGGACACAGCCAGGTCTGTGATCCCCTGTGCCCTGGGGGCAACGGGAAGGGCATTCCCAGCAGGTCAGGCAGGGATCCTGCCCCTCCAAGTGCTGTGTCCGGCTCTGGCTCCTCAGCACAGCAGGGACAGGAGCTCCTGGAGCTGAGCAAGGACCTGGAGCAGCTCGCTGCCCAGGAAAGGCTGAGGGAGCTGGGGCTGCTCAGCCTGGGGAGGAGCCGCAGTGAGAGGGGCTCAGCCCTGGCTGTCCCTGGGTGCAGGGAAGGCTCCAAGCAGGGCCCAGCAATGGCACCAGAGGAAGGCCGGGACTGATGCCCAGGAAGTCCCACCCGTACGCGAGCAACAACTTCCTCCTTGCGCGGGTGACAGGTGCACCGAGCGGGTTCGGCGTCTCCCCAGAACCGCCTGGACGCAGCCCCGCGCCATGGGCCGCCCATCCCACCCACCCCTGGGCTGACCCCGGAGCAGGGAGGCGGGACCGGCGTCCGCACGCCGCGACTCCGTGCCCCCGCCCCGAGCCCGCACTCACCATCAGAGAGCCGCGGTCGACGCCGCCGGGCCGCATGGCGGGGCTGAGCAGGGAGCCCCCGCAGCGGCCCAGGAGGCGCCCGCGCAGCGGC